AAACACACTATACACGGGACGTCTTGAGAGGGCTGTCAGTATGACTGAAGCAGCAGCCTGGGTATATTCCAGGATTCATTTTTTATGGGTAAAACAAAGACAAGTCACATCAGTTCAAAAAGAAAAGGTTCGTGGAAACGCCTAACTTACGTTTCAAAAATTATTTCCCTATAGCAAATAAAGTCCTATTCTAAAATTAATTCTCTAAAGCAGTTATGGTCCAGGGTCATACAGACAAGCTTTTAAGGAATTTGGAACATGCTTCCTCCCTTCTTTGTCAAGGTAAAGGCCAAGATGAAAACATAACAATGCAGCTTAAGGAGCAGCTCTCCACAATATATATGTAATTCAGAAATATATGTACACCAGAAAGGAACAACAACAGGTTCAAAGAACACAGGCTGGGCATGGTAGCTCACATCTGCAATCCCAGAGCACAGGAATTGAATGCAGAAGGACCTGGAAAGAGAAGAAGAAACTCTTGATTAGTACAGCGTGGCAGTGACACGGGGGGCAGAGAACAAACCAGAGCAGAGTCCAGAGACACCCTCACACAGGTCGGTTGCTTAGGACAAAAGCAGCACACTAGAAGAGTGGAAAAACAGTGACAGCTTTTAAGTACATGGGCCTGGAATAACTGGGTACTTAGTGGTAAAATCCATTTCCCCAAAGTCCCATGGTGGCTTTGTGGTAAAGGCAGGTCTTGGAATGTATATGCGGTGGGCTCTTGAGTCCACATTCTTTATACTTTGATGCCTTCCTTGTTACCTCCCAAACCCGTTGTGAACAGCAGGGCCCTAGCAACACATGGGCTTTGTCCCCCAGATGGTGCTGGGGGCAACCGTGGGGGAAGTGGTGCAGGCTGAGTGCCGCTCCTCTCAGAACACGAAGTCCCCTTGGGAAGGCATGGGCCTCTGGTCAGCTTCCCCCCCTCAGACTTCTTTATTTTGTTTTATGTGTATGAAGTTGTAGGTTTTATGTTTTTGTTTATTTCCCACCCCCCTCCCTCCCCCTTTTTTTCAAGACAGAGTTTCTTGCTCTGTGTAGACCAGGCTGGCCTTGAACTCAGAGATCTGTCTGCTTCTGCCTCTTGAGCACTGGGATTAAAGGTGTGAGCTACCACTGCCTAGCCCACGTATGAGGTTTTACCTACATGTATGTATGCCACATGCGTGCCTGGTCCCCAAGAAGGTCAGAAGAGAAAGTCAGATAGCCCAGAACTGGAGTTACAGAGGGTTGTGAACAATTATGTAGGCATTGGAAAATGAACTCTGCAAGAACAACAAGTGTTCTTTCTGTGGAGCCCTTGCTGTCCTGAATCTCACTCTCTAGACCAGGCTGGCCTCGAACTCAAAGATCTGACTGCCTCTGCCTCCAAAGTGCTGGGATTAAAGGCACAACTTAACTGCTGAGTCATTTCTCCAGCCCTTTCTGATGTACTCTTCACAGTGAATTGCCTTTCAGTCCTGTGTTAAGGGCTGGTAAGGTAAGTGTACTGTGGATACTAAAGGGTAGATGCTCTGAGGTCAGACTGTTTGCTCTGTTTTAGTTTATTCATTTATATTTAGTTATTCTATGTGTATGAGTGTTTTGCTTGTATGTATGTATACCACATATGTGCCAGCTGCTGGAAAGGGTCAGCAGGGGACATCAAATATCCTGAAAGCGGAGGTTCAGATGGCTGTGAATGAGTGTGTGGGTGCTGGGAATCAAACTCAGGCCCTCCATAAGAGCAACAGGTCCTCTCAGCTGCTCAGCCTCTTCTCTAGCCCTTTGTTTGAGGCAGGGTTGCCTGCATTATGAGCTGTTTGGGAGACAGCAGGAGCTAGGCCATCAGACACCCTCAGGACAGGTTTGGTGTTTTATTTCAGAAGCCAAACTTTGTGTGTTTGAAGCTTCCTTCTGTGGGATGAGCCAGCCTAAACACAAGAAAGCCTGCTTTTCAGAGAAACTTGTGTGAAGGCCTCATTCCAGGACTCTGTGCCATGCCCTTGGGGGTTCCTTAGAGCTGAGATGGCTGTCATTTCTTCCTCGCTGCCTTCTCTGGCTTCTTGGCTTGGCAAAATAGACCTTTGTTTCTGACCCTGTGTTCTTACAGGACAGGAGGATGGGACTCCTGCCTTAGGCCTTCGTCTGGTTAGGGCGACTAGAGCAGTAAAGCTGGAGAGCTTCCTTGAGTTTTCTAAGAAGCACAGGCTTCCAGCTAGACCACCTTGCTTCTCAGGGGAAGGTCAGAGAGGACCAGGCCTTGGCCACTCAGGGCTATCAGTGCAGGCTTCCTCTGCTCCCTGTATAGCCCACACCCTCCAAAGTGAGGCATCCCACCAGTGGGCTAGCACATGCCATGACCTCAGAGATAGAGAGGGGTAAAAAAGGCTCGATAGTCCTTGTTACCTCAAAGAAGAGCCCTAGTACTCCTGGCGGTTGTGGCTAGTGAAACTGTGCTATAAAGTAGGTACAAAATAGGGAGAGCTCCCAGACTCACAAAGCAAGCGGGGTTGAACTCTATTAACCAAACTCACAACAGCCAAGCCCAGGGACTACTAAGGACATAATCTCAGCAATCTCACATACAGAGGTAGGAATGGCCCAGGCTGGTGTCTGGTATAGCTGGCCCAACAGACATATTGGTTACAGGGGAGGTTTCTTTTATCCTCAACACGTAGCCCCTCTCTCGTCCATGTCCATTCCATAGTCCCATTGTGGCTGGGTAAATGTCTATCCAGAGTAAGCCACATGGTACCTGAATCAGCAAGGTCTGGATTGCTGCAGTTGAGCCCACCAGCCTGTTTATGAATCATAAAAACAAACCATGGGTCCTAGACTTGCTGAAAACAAAACCAAAGCCCCCAAATTGCCTTTGGCTGGAACCATAGAGAAGTTTCAGGAAGAGAGCAGTAGTTACCCTCCTTTTGGGAAGAGGGTGCTCGGTTGGGAGGGGAGGTAGCTTCAAGAAAAAGGAGAGAAGGTGGGAGTCTAGCCTCGAGCGATGGAATCTCTCCCTCCCACTGGCCCCACTGGGTTCCTGCAGCCTGTGGCAGCTTCCACACCAAG